CTGCTGGGAGGCTTGGCGCGGGGGTGCGCACCTTTCCAGGACACGTCCCGGTCCCGAGGCACCGCTGTGTCACCACCCTGGCTCCAGGAGGGCACCCGAGGGACCCCGCAGCAGGGCCGCTGCTGCCAGGAACAAGCCCCTTCTGCCAGCGGTACCTGTGCCAGGAACAAGTCCCTTCCCCGCAGGGCTCAGACCCAGCATCTGCCCAGACCGCTCGCTGGGCAGGACTCGGCGCCACCTCTGCAAAAGCCAAGGGGTGTCTCGAGGGGAACAGCAATGGCAGCAGGGCCCGGGTGCGAGCAGGGGCCGGCCCGGCCACCAGAGCCACTCAGTGTGCCAGGCCCCCTCCTGCTCCCCCATCCCTGGTCACCCTGCTCCCCCATTCCCGGTGTTCCTGCTGCCCCCATCCCCGGTCTTCCTGCTGCCGCCATCCCTCGTTATGCTGCTCCCCAATGCTTGCTCCTCCTGTTCCCCCATGCCTGGTCCTCCTGTGCCCCCATTCCTGGCCCTCCTGCACCCCCATCCCTGGTCATCCTGCTCCCCCATCCCTGGTCACCCTGCTCCCCCATTCCCGGTGTTCCTGCTGTCCCCATGCCTGGTTCTCCTGTGCCCCCATTCCTGGCCCTCCTGTGCCCTCATTTCTGGTCTTCCTGCTCCCCCATTCCTGGCCCTCCTGCTCCCCCATGCCTGGTCCTCCAGCTCCCCCATTCCTGGTCCTCCTTCTCCCCCCTTCCTGGTCCTCCAGCTCCCCCCTTCCTCGTCCCAGCTCCCCCATTCCTGGTCCTCCTTCTCCCCCATTCCTGGTCCTCCAGCTCCCCCATTCCTGGTCCTCCTTCTCCCCCATTCCTGGTCCTCCTGCGCCCCCATTCCTGGTCTCCCTCCGCCCTCTAGTGGCCTCGTCCCCAAAGCCCTTCCCTCCTGCCGCGCAGGGTGTCCACACTCGGCCCTGCCAGGGCAGCACAGGCCCCTGGACACTGGGGACACGGGGCCCCCTTCCTTCTCCAGGTCACCCTGCGACAGCCCCAAGGAACCGCAAGGACCTCAAGATGGGCTGGGTAAACAGTGAGTAGAGAGAGAGGATTCGCTGTAACGCCCTGTGCCAGCCGGCCCCAGGACACCCACGCCAAGGAGGCCCCTGCGGTTTTCGTGACAACACGAGCGAGAATTTCTGCAGAAGGCAACAGAGAAGTGAACGGCTGCGTCCTCCACCCAATGGAAACTGGAGAGGAAACTTCAGGGGGCCCCGAGTAGAGAGGGCAGAAAAGAGGTGGATTATGAGAGACTTCAGAGACAGATCAAGGGATCCGAGCTGCCAGAAACACGGGCTGTGGGAAAAGAACTGGGGATGGTTATTCTGGAAGAGAAAGACTGAGGGACCACATGGTAGGAGTCTTCGCCTCCAAAGGAAGAGAAAGGCAATAATCTATTCCCTGTGGATACAAGAGGGAATGAGGGATTTAAATAGACTTGGATGCTAGGAAAAGGTTTCTGATGGTATGAACAGTGCAGCCCAGCATCACCTCGCTGCAGAACAGGGCAGCCTGAACTAGTTGAACAGTTATCTTTAGACACGGCACAGGCAGGGATACTACCTGGTGTCACTGGGACACGACGTGACCTCCTGGGATCACCCTCATCCTATTTTCCATGATGTTACAATTAAAACCCACAGTGATTCTCTGCCTGAGATGCAACAAGAGCACAAACTTTACAAGTTAGTGACTAACTTGCAGGCAATCTGGAAGCCAAAGACCTTGTTCTGCCAGGCTAGGTCCTGTACGGACACCTCCTGGTGACCTGACCCAAAAGCTCCTCAGAGACGGGACCCGCTGCAAACACGGATGCTCTAGGGAAGGACGGGGCGCTGCGATGCAGCCCAGCTCTGGCCTCGCTTTGTGGGGTAACCAGTTGCAGAAACTGCAGCAACTGCAGAGTCGTGGGATTCTTCGTAAGAGAGAGGGCTTTCTGCTTGGTATTGAGCATCGAGTGCCTGATGAGAGAGGGATTTGGGAAAAAGACAACGCGGAGATATCTAATACAAAATGATTAGCCAGAATGTATTGTTAATAAGCTGCTTATTGGTGTAATTGGGAACTCTTTGCAGGCCGGGTGTCTGCAGAGACGCTCTGCAGCGCCCGGGGGCAGCAAGGCCGGGCTCTCACTGAGCAAGTGCCGAGCACATGTCCTCAGGAGCAGGACCACAGCGAGAGGAGAGCAGGAGGATGGACAGGTCCTTGCAAAGGGTAGAATGAAAGTGAGGCAAAGAAAGCCAGGGACGAGGCAGATGAGAGGCACTGACTGCTTGTGCGTGCACAAATCCTGCCCAACACATCCTCCCTTCCCTCATCCCTGCTGCCTTGGACTCAGGCCTGACAAGCACCGAGGCTGAGCTCGAGCCACAGGGGTGTCCATGTGCTTCTCCACACTGAAACTCTTGGCTGTTTTCTGTGGCCAAGCGCTGACTGGGGTTAATGATTTTGCTGGTGTCAGTGTAGAGCTCTCTCACTGAGCATCTTCAAGGGGTCTTTCAGGGACTGTGCCAGAAACGGGGCAGGACAGTGAAGTGGGGCTCCTGCTGATGCAGAAAGGAGAAGCAACCCGCTTCCCCCCGCACTCTATCTACTGCCTTTGACTCCTCTGAATTAGCCCAGCTCTACTCATATGGACAATTGAATTACACGAGCACTGATCTATTTGTAAAGAAGCAGGAAGGAATCCCGTGCTGAGCCAAGTGGTAGCCACTAAGCTCAGCCACTTCCTCCTGCAGTGCCAGCATGAGGCAGGGGGCAGAGAGAAGAGACACTAATTCTGCATCCTGCCTTCGACACGGCCCCATCTCTGAGCCCCCGGACACGCATGGAGCTGGCATTCCTCCTGCTTCTGCTCTTCTGTTACTCAGGTAAGAGAAGGGGATCCAAGAGCCAAGGGGAGTCAGGTACAATATTTCTCCAGCATTTATCTAAGGTTTTGCATATTCCAGCACTGGGAGAGGAATTTTTGGAATGTTTTTGCTAGGAGGAGTACAGGGCAGGCACTGAGGAAAGGCAGAGTTGAAAAAAAAATACCCTGTCTTGTTTCGGGGATGCCCATGAGACTCACAGCACTGAGCACTAAGCTGCTCCCAGCTCCTCTCCCACTGCTTGGCTTTGGCATTTTCCAGGACTCCAAGGCCAGATGAGTGATCCTGAGGAGAACAGACTGGAGGGAGAGGCTCTCTCCTTCCAGTGCCATTACAAAGCACAGCCTCACAGCCACAACTCCAAAATCTTCTGCAAGCTCACAGAAGGACACTGCCAGCCACTGGTCCAGACCACCCTGGAACCAGCAGGCAGGTACATACACAAGGCAAGCGCAGGAAGATTCAGCATAGGGGACAACACCACCGAGGGGGTGGTAACCCTCACCATTGAGGAGCTCACGGAGCAGGACTCGGGACAGTACATGTGCGTGCGGTCTGCTGACTCTGGCATGCTGCTTCTCATGAAAATAATCACACTGAATGTTTTCAAAGGTAAGGACATTCCTTTGCATTAAAACTCAAGTCTTGTTATAATAAGACTCATTCCTTCCTCCACTCCATCTTCCCTGCCCTTCTTGCTCCCAAACTGGTTCCCTCCAGACACCCTTTTCCCTAAACCTTTGTCACCTTGTCACTAGCTCATGCATCCCTCAGCCCAGAAACTCAACCCAGATGCTGTTAGAATTTGCTACGCCAGACTTTCTTTCTTCTCATGAAAGAAAGGACAAGTTATCTTAAGGCTTACTTCAATTTTATGTTAACTAAATATTTTTGCTAGAGACTTTTGTTCCCCAACACTGCCAATTAAGATGGGGCACTCCTCAAATTTGCTGAGTAGCTCTCAGCTTGCTGGATTCTTCCACAAAGCTGCACTGAAAACTGAGCAACTTCCCTGTACCAGAGGTTTTGTTCTACTGCGTTTGACACTGGGCTGAGGCCCCCCACATGCGACACTCATGCTACTCCTGTGTCTGCCTCAGTGCTGCTGTAGTGGTGGGAACAGGAGGACAGAGTTGGAGGGCTAATGTCTTAAAACTGCTACTGCATCTAAATCCAGCAGCTTCCTCCTGTCAGAACTTGGATGTTATGGGGAAAAAAAAAAGTTGTTTAAGGGAGAGCAGGTGACGTGAGAGCTATGCCAAGCTGAGATCACAGCTGAAATCAATCTCTGCAACTGAGGTCAGAAACTGGCTTTCGCCTGGGGAGACCCTGGCAACGACGTGTGCCACTGTAACTCTCAGCCAGAATTAATGCTTGTTGTCCTATGTTTTCCAGTGGTCCAAAACCACTCTGTTACAGAGCTGCAAAGTCTCTCCATCATGTGTCCCTACAATGTTCAGAACTACAGCAATGTACAGAAAGCCTGGTGTCAAAGAAAAGAGGAAGACGAATGTGACGTGCTGGTCAGTACTTACTACTACTTATCAGCATATCAAAACAAGGTTCGTTTTTGGAAAAGCACCATCTCTGACAACACGCAGAAGGGGATGGTCACCATCACGATGCAGAAGCTGCAAGCTGAAGACTCTGGAGTGTACTGGTGTGCTCTCCGCGTACGTTCGCATTTCTCCCGAATAATGCAGATTAATCTATCTGTTTCCAAAAGTGAGTACTTCTTTATGGAAAAAAAATCAAAGTGCATTTCTTTTTTTGTAAATACCTGCTCTACTTTCTCTGCCTGTCCTTTTTTCCTTTCTCAGGATTCCTCCTCCCAGGTCACAGTTGAATCATAAAAGCACTCACAGATGATCACATCAAAGGTCCATATAGTTCAGTATCTGGCCTCCAACACTGGCCAAAGCAGCTAATTAGCACGGAGTATTTCCAAGCTAATAGCAATGGGTATTTTTTTCCTCTGTAAGTCACCCACGGGTTCTGCTAACACATGAAAACTCTTGGTTTGCAATCACCTGCAGCAGGGAGCTCCCCCCTTCATGCATTCCCGCAGAACTTCCCCTTTTCCTTGTCTCTCTCAGCTGCTACTCTCCTCCTCAGAACTGCTGTTCCTGTTCTCCCTCTCCCTGCTATTCCTAACTTTATTGACTTCTCGTACATCACTCCTATGTCGCTTCTTTTCCAGAATAGAAAGTCATTTTAGCCACTCATTGCATATATGTGCTCCTCATCTTTTGTCTTGGTTGCTTTTCTCTCAGTTTTGAGGCAACTTATTAATTCAGACCAAAGAGTACTAATACTTCTGTTACAACAAGCTTTGCTTTGTTTCAGGAGATGATTATATTATTTTTTCTCAGAAGACAGCATATTTTGGATTTTTTTTTTAAACTCAGCACCCCAATTCAATTTAACCCAGCCCTGCATGTGAACGGGATTATAATATTGTGCCTATTCCAGTTATGGGAAACTGATGTTATAAGGCTTGTTAGCTGGACCTTACTGACCAGTTTTGACCTTTTCCAGAAATGCAGGAACACGTAAGGAAGGAGATGCAGACTTTCTCTGCTGTATGCCCATATAACTCACAAGATTACAGGGCTGTACAAAAACTCTGGTGCAAAAAGACAACTGGGAAAGACTGTGTGGTCTTGGTAAGTACAGAAAAGACAAACCTTCAGGATATCAACAAAGCTCAGAAAGGAAGATACAGCCTAAAGGATGACACCCAGAGGGGACTTCTCAACATCACCGTGGAGAGAGTCACGGTACAAGATGCTGGGAAGTACTGGTGTGCCATTTCCTATAACCTGCATCTCTTCCGAATAATGGAAATCCAGCTGCTTGTTTTGCCAAGTGAGTGGTTTTTTAATACGAGAAACTAATTTCTCCCCCTTTCCTTTGCAGCAGAATTCACTTCCCAGGCTTGTTGTCCCACCGCTCTGTACTCTGCACAGTCCCCACGCCACCTCAGCAGCTAAACTTGGTGTCCAGACTGTTCTGCTTTGTCCCCTGTTGCCAACAAAGGCCCATCCCTCCTGTGCATGTGCTTTATTTGCAGGTGAAGCTCCAAACATCCTTCCTCCTGCTTATGCAAATATTTCCTTTAACTCCGCGGAAACAACCCCCCTCAGCAAGGCGGAAGGGCTGCAGTGGAACAGGTGAGTTGTCCCTCTGTGTCCCGCAAAGGGCACAGGCCAGCCCGAGCACATGGGGGAGAAGAGGGCACGTTTTGCCAGGGATCGTCCTCTCTTCTGCCAAGCAAAACCTCGGGATTCTTAGTGGGAACCCAGGCTTCTGAAATTCAGGGATGCCCCCATCATTTTCAGAGACCCATTCCCATTCTCTGACCTCTTCACTGACATAAATGGGATGTTAAATATGTTTCTTGCAGCAGTTTTACTATATAGGGATTTCTATATTTCAAGAGCGAGCTCCAGTATACAAACGCCCCACGGCTGGGAGAGCAATAAAGCTTTGAAACGGCTAAACCAGCATCAGTACAATGATGCTTGGGGCACATTTATGTTCCTTTTTGAATTCACTGGGAATCTCACCCTGAATACCAATTCCAGAAGGATCCTCCTTGTGCACAACAAAAAATCTCAGGTCCTATGAGATCCTTCCTCTTATGGTGGAAACCCTCCAGCTCGCCAGACAAATTCTGTTTCCCTTTCTTATCTCATGTGTTTCCCTCATTTAATCACTTGCTTGCTTGCTCGCTAGGTTGCAGATCATCCTGTGGTTGGTCATTGGAGTCGTGAGCAACAAGACCCTGGCGGTGGTGATCCTAGTGTTCCTCACGAGAAGGAGGAACTCCAGGAAGGAGGTATCTGGACGACAGGAAGCAGCAAAGTCATGGTGCAAAAGAACAAATCCTAGCAGGAAAGCAGGTGCCTGGGGGATGCTCCCTGCCACACGCCCTGGCTTGCTGCCGCTTGCTCTAGGAGCAGGCAGGGTATTAGCTGCGCTCCCTCTGCTGCTCCACAGCAGCCCAGCTAGTTGGAATTGCCCTCCTGCTGCCACGCAGAAAGATGGTCTTCCCTAGGAGAAGATGCCCAGATATTGCCTAGTAGAGGCTCCCTTTGGCAAGGCTCTGCTCCCGGTCTGTACGACCAGGCAAGCTGTGCCCTGCTCCGGGGAGTGTGGATAATGCACAAAGCTCAGGAAGGCATTTTCCTCCTTTCAGGAAACACAGCAACATCCTGAAAGGCTTTTCCTGTCCTACCTTTCAGGGCAGGAGATACCAGAACAGGAGTAAACTCTGAGAAGAGCTGCGGGACACCCTGTACCAAGAGCCTCTCTGGGCCCTGGCTCCAAGCGGCCGTGTCCACCAAGCTGCAGCAGAAGCTGCTGCCCCCTGCCAGCCCTTGCAGCCTTTCCGCACGGACACAGCAAAGCCAGCGCTGACGGAACACAGCACCAGCCTCGTCCTGCTTCACTTCCCGCTCCTTTTCCTCATGCTCTTTCCTTGCTGCCCTTCTCCAGCCCAGCCAACGGCCCCGCATCCTCCCGGGCTCTCAGGGGAAGAGCCAAAGAGCCACAGGCTGAGGGCAGCGCAGCCGCTGGCCCTGGCGCCTGCCGTCCTCGCGGCCGCCAGGAGGGAGCAGC